GACTAGCTACTATACCCTTGTCCATAGGAGGGCAATAAAAGTGGACCGAAAGAGTATATACAAGGGGAAAATATAATCAACAGCAATCTGGAAGGGAGGAGCCAAGCAAGGATATAGTGCAAAAAATAGTGTAATAGTATATGTATTCAGGACAAAAGTATACAGGAACGGATGAGCAGAAACCTACACGCGCGTGACGATTGTCTCCATCATTGGACTGCCAGGCTGTATGGCCGTGAGCACCTGCAGCATTGACCTCCCAGGCCTTAGCCCAGTTGAGCGGTACAGTACAATGTGGAGAGCTACGAATTCACCACTAAAATCCTTACTCTACGACAAGTAAGGGATCGAGGAGATGAAGTGTGGAGGGACAGGGGGGGAGGTCCCGCCTGTATTGTATTAAACTGTAGCCAGACTGGTAGTATGAAGGAAAAGTGGTATAGTCGGATCCATTAAGGAGAGGAAGAATGGTGAATGGATTTTAAGGGACTGAGGAGAAGGAGACTCACGTAATTAAAGTCAGATATACCTAGGGACACGAATATTGAAGGGCAGAACACTGAGTAATGTACTAAATAGGTGGGGTTGATAGTGACAGAGTACGAGTGATAAGAATCATGGAACGTAATCTAGGGAACCGAAACAGAACAATGGAGTGCGATGGAATATTAAATGAACGACAACCACGGTTGCCAGAGTGAGTAATTATGCTTACCACGCTTCTTCCCCTGTTCAGTGCGATAACGTGCACTCTCTCTTTTCTTATGCCTGCCGGCAGCACCACAAGGACCAGAGAGAGGGCTATGCTGGTCTCTCTTCGCCACAACCGGCCTAGTGGCGTGCTTGCATACAGCGGCACAACACTGAGCTCCGTTATGCCAACGATTAGGCATCCCATGGCAGACAACTGCTTTTTGTGCGTAGGAACTCACGTCCAGTGCTATACCTTTTGTGGAACATTCTCAGAGCCATTAAGGGCAGCGTTATGTTCGGCATTTATGTTACTTTCCTTCTGCCAGCAACAATGAAGTCGGGAACTTATAGTAATTACAAGTTGGATATGTTATCTGAGGACCAATCTTCACCAGATTACGCTCCTTAAAGTGAAAAAAGTTGATGACTTCAAGGCAAATTATTATTATTATTTCATGCCATTGTTTCCACAATACTAATAAGTTTGTTTTTTGCGTGTATTCAAAGGTGAGTTTGCTATCTAGAATCGACATTTATCATTACATGTAGTATAAGTATTATTGTCAAAGTAATCAAAGATAAGAAGAATGTATAAAAAAATTCATATCAAATTTGGACATGATGCTCAAGACCAGCATCTTTTTATACGTGCAATATACAGGTAAGGCCAACACCCTCTTATAACCCTCCTTAGCTTCATGCTTACAGGTAATCCAATTTTCAAAACTGACACTACATTCGCTGCATTGGTTTCCGAGCTGGTTATTGCAGTCATTTAGTTTGAATGTTTTCCATGTTTGCTGGGGAGCCTGTTCCTCCCAAAACACTTAGTGCCACCCGTGCGCCAGATGAAACAAAATTTGTGTTCATCCCCTCATTAAGCCGATCCGACAGGCAGTAGTCCTTCTGATGTATGATCAGTGGTGCATTAGCGAAAACGGCACTTCATTCCGTTATTCTAAGCCGCAACTGGTATCCAAACGTATTATACTCCTGTCCTGTGTATGTGAAGAAACACAGCTGGACATTACCTGTCAGCATTAATGTTAATTACTCAAGGTGAGCCAAGGGATCAGTGCCATCTGATTGTGTTTTAATGATTAATGAGATTTTAGATGACTTTCCTCTCCAACCCTCTTCTGTTTAACCTGGCTCACATCCAGCTTTGTAGTTAAGGTACACGTATAATGTGCGCTGACCCACGAATGGATCGACGTTCTCGTCTCCAAAGAAAATCGTTGTTCAATATGATCGACGCGATGCCCATTAAGTAAACATCTGACAGCAGACATACGAACTTACCTGAAGAGATGAAGTTATGCGATAGTTCAGAACAAATCTTCACAGATGCTCCGAGTCCTCAACATATTGCTTCAATTTATCAAATGTAACTCTAAGAAACACAGAAAGTGAAACCTTTGACCATTGTTTATCTTATTAGCTAACCAAAACACAATGTGCCTCAAAGGATGTTACAACCTTAAAGTCGCGTTATTCTTACATGAAGAAATTTTTTTGCAGTTGGATTTCTGGCGGGGTGTATGCAACAGATAGTCCCAATGTATGTTTCTTTTATTTCATACTGAATAATCAGTAAAAAAAGGAAAAATATTAGGTCCAATAAAAAACTTTGCTTCTGGACAGCAGGCAATTTCGTGGAACGTCACGTGTCGGTTCCCGGCTGCCGCTGTCTGGATCCCTGCTGGCCCGTCCGGATCGACAGCCAATGCCGCAGCCACGCGAGGAGTTCACAACGAAAAATGGCGTCAATATTGTCTGATGTTTACGCATCAGACAAAAGCCTAATAGCGCGGGTATTTGGGCACAATTTGACAGAACGAATTCCATTTGGTGCTGGAACGATGCGAGCAGTGACGATGAATCCTGAACGATCTCTGCCGCGCTTTTACACCAAGAGAAATGAAGAGGCCTAGAACCGTATAGGTTCCGAGCCATGCAAACGCGAATTGTGCACCACCGGTCTCTCTTTCGGGAACAAATGAACGGTAAAACCATCCGATTGGTGTTGTACACCCGCCAACGACACACCTCTTCACCATGCCCGGAAATCAAGACAGAACTCGGCAGATAAACACTGATACACACAAGTTTGACAATGCGCTATACCAGCAATGCTAACTGTGTGATCTGGGAACGCGGCTGAACTACAGATTCGCGGCACCACACGTGACGTGACACAGCACCAAGCAGCGGCAAGTTTTGAATCCAGACTTTTCTGGATACTCTGAATTTGACCCATTTTCCCGATATTAAACAAGTGATTTACAGCATAGGAAACGTATTCGATCTATATCAGTGTTTAACTGGAATAAGACCCAACAAGTTAATGCCTTTTTGAACAGTTTATGATCTTTCAGCTAAAGTAAATTATGCAAGGAAAGGACTTTAAAGGTCCATATCCTGGCCATTTCTACTGATCATAATTCCATTGTTGAGGTCACTAGAAACATGTTATAATTGTGCAATTTTCAAATCACTTTGGTTTCTCACATAAAGCATCTCTGTAAACTACGTGTATTCACTGAATTTCACGTGCCTGCTTTAACGGCTCGTTGTATCCAGTAGTTCAGCCCAACCCTCTGTGAGACAGTGTGCTCTGAGTGTGGTCGGACATTGGAATGGCTAAGTCGTGCGTGTTGTTTCTTGTACAGCGAAACCAGCCAAACTCATCCTGAGCACACACCAAAGTCACAGCCGAAGAAAACAATAAGTTGCTTGATATTGAGTAAGAAAAGGTTGATAACGCTGTGGAATGGGTCAGCCGAGAGATTTGCCGCGATCCAATGTTGTTATCAGTGCGGAGGAAGAAGCGAGACTGTTGGATGAGTGTGCTGTTGTTGTGTCCGTGCATGTAATTTGGACCAATCAGCGGGGCTTAACGTGGCTCACGGATCTGGTCCATTTCATTCGGTACGGTTTGACATCATAGCGTACCCGGAGAATCAAAATGGACAATGACGTATCTCAACGAGGCGTTTTGGGGGGAGGTATTTTCTGTGTTTAGAGTTTACTCGCTACAGGGTGTACTTTGAGGGTTTTGACTCTGCAGACCGTTTACATGCATAAAAACCTTCATAACACAGAAGGGGACGGGTAATAACCAGAAAAGCATGACATGGGACCTTTAACATTATCGAGTAAGACACTTTCTTTTGACGCTCGGTTCAATTAATAGATTGCAGTTAGGTTACAATTTCTTATTGAAATTAATTATATTTGAATCTTTGCCAGGCACATAAACATTTTATTAACATTCTCTATCAAAACTTGTTAGCAGCTGGACAAGAGCGTCCATTCAATGGAAAGTGTGAGAATACACAAAAATCCATTAGGTAATCCATGTTATTCACTACACTGTCAATACATCATCTTTCTCAATACTTTTCCCAAGTGCCACGTGAATACAAAAAAGGAAGAAAGTCAAATGAAAAACCTTGAAAATGTCAAGCTATTCTTTTAAATCTAATCTTGGTTGGAGGCTTGTTGAGAGGCAGAACAGAAGGAACTGCAGTCAATCTATTTTGGGGCAAATAGCACAGACTGAAGGTGTCTGCTTAGCAGCAAGTCAGACGCATTATGTTCAAAGTGCTTTAGACATTCTGCGTAGGTGTACGTGGTACGTGTAGGTGTGTGTATGTGTTAGAGAAGGAATGAGTACCTGACACGCTGTTCTTTAGCTCTGAGCATAGCTGTTGTGCGAACTGTAGTCACTAGCACAACCTCAGAGAGACTAGGTTTCAGGTCCATCCGGCTAGTAGGGATCCGAATGAACATAAAGGACGTTGTTCTAAAATACTGATGAACAATCACCCTTATTGGCTGTTGCTCACTTTTACAATTCATTTGATTGATGTCTATTCAGTTATTTCATGTCTATTCATTTGATTCATGTCGCAAAATGTGTGTTCTTTTCCTTTTAGGCTGGAAAAACTAATTCATCAAACAGTTTTAACAGAAAATAACCTTTATGAACTATTTTCATTTTCAAGCACAAGTTCTAGCCGTGACTGGTTTCTGGAGGAGGTTAACACATTGCTATTAGTTTTTTCCCATTAGCAGAAATAGAGAACATCTAGAAACAAAACGAAGAGTTCTTTATAAATTCTTTATTGCTTAGTATTTCTGTTACTTGACAAATTGCAGTACAAAATGGAGTGAAGTGCGAGAAATACTAATGAATATGGGACTGGGGGAAGATGAAAAGAGGCATAGAAAGATTGTGTGAAGTGAGATGAGTGAAAATCCTGTAAGAGAATCTGAGCCAAAGAGTAAGAAGTGTTGGGAGAGAAAGGGAGAGAGCACCCTCTCTTTTCCCAAGTCTCTCCTCACAAGTATGCTTTGCCCAGTGTTACCATGGCAACGATGAGTCTTCCACACGCTGACCACACTCACACACACTTGCACACATAGAGAGTGTGAAGGGAAATTGCACACACACCCACACACACTGTAGCACCTGAACAGCCACGTGCACAGATAATGCAAACATCACCTACAGTAAAAGCTTCTACAGTCGGCTCGTGATGAACACTCTCAGGCTTTGAGAGGTACAGAAATGGCTCCGCTGACCCACTGTGCAATATATTCCTGCTATACAGAGTCAACGCATGAATTGATCATCAGCATAAGATTGATTATTACATTCATGGTTTTCAATAAAAAATGACACATATTCTCTTGTTCCCTAATTCTCCTTGATTTCTACGATAGTATAAGGAAATGCAAGGAACAAGAGAATAAGTGTCATTTTTGATTGAAAAACATTAATCTAATAATCAACCCTATGCTGATATAGGGTTTCTAACTGTGAGTTAAACAAAACAAGCAATCTGAGGATTTCTCTTTGGTGCTGTGATTACAGTATGATAGGAAGAGTATTGATCAGAACAAAATGTTTATCAAAAAAACATTTCACATGCATTTCACAATCCATGTACCGGTAGTCATATTTAAATGGTGATACTGCCATGTTTACTGAACCAGTCAAATCCATTAGAAATATTCAATTACAGATTGAAATGGGTTGAGCCATATGCCTGAAATAAGAACATCTACATCTGACTCCATCTTACTCATCTACCACCCTCCCACGCATAGCAACCCTTCACCTGCTAGCTGGTTGATTATCACTAGCAGCTATTTCAAGCCCTACATTGGTTGCACTGTGCAAAAGAAAAGAGAATCTTATTTATTGAATAGATCACTGAACAAACAGTATAGCATTTTCCAGTAAATACAACCAAAATATTGATGGAATTCAATCATAATGATATGCATGGAAGTCCACAACTGATGGGTAAAACAATCATAAAATACATTATAATCATCAAATGGTATAATAATATGTGTAATACAACCACTGGTAGAAAATAATATTTATTACAGTTCATATTTGGCTACATTTTAATTAAACATCCGAAAATCTTCCCTCTAGCCCCCTGATAAGGAAGGTGGTCTGCCGAAGCAGGTTGGCAACAAGACAGAGTGCGGCCTGCTGGGATTTCTCTTGGACCTGAAGCGGGATTACCAGCCAATCAGAAACCAGATCCCAGAGGAGAAGCTTTACAAAGTCTACACCTTCAACTCTTCCAGGAAGTCCATGAGCACTGTCATCAAATTGCCTGATGGGAGCTTCCGCATGTACAGCAAGGGAGCCTCTGAGATCGTTCTCAAAAAGTGAGTCTGGTTTTGTGTTTAAATGACATTATTCTGATATAAATAGTTGCACATAACCTTGTTCTACAGTAATATGCTGTAATAGTGTTACAAAAAGTGATGATCTTTTCAATGTTGTTACCAAGTGTACAGCTAATCCATTTGGAGTGCATAATGTACTAATGGTATGCACATGCTCCAGGCATTGAGAGTGGGCTGAGTTTCCACTAGAAGGTCACACAATTCTGACATTTTACAGAACACAACGATTACAGTACAGTAACAAATGAGAGGCAGTTATTAAGCTTCCTGCACAAACTAAAGGAAGCAGCATACATTCTCCTTTCAGCATGATTGATATAAAAAAAAACATTAAATTGTAATAAATTGCATTTAAACTAAGGATTGGAAACATGTTACATACATTACATACATACATCGAGGGGTTATATAAACATGTGTGCCCCAAATGACAAAAGTCCTAAAATAACTTTGGAGCAAATCACAGTTAATTTGCTAATGACATACCAGAAATCCTTTATTCATTCCCGCTGTGGGACAAATAAAGGATTTCCGATTATAGCAGGTGAATTTAATCTTTAATAATTTGGGAATTGCCTTTATTGCTTCCTAGCCGAGCAGAAGATAACTATATTAATACTCCTCCTCTCCTATTTTTCAATTAAATATCGAGCAGGCGGTTCATTTAGCCTAGCAAAAAGTGGTGAATGGAAGTTTTCACACTTTGGTTTTTGTATTAAACAAGTCAGATATAACGCAGTAATTAGTTGGCTTTAGAGTACCTGGTACTGGTGGATTTTGTCAAAGCAAGGCTAGCTGTTGCTTTATGCTAAGCTAACCTGGCTGTAGCTTAGTATTGAAAGCACAGATATGAAAAGACAATAAACATCTACTCATGTGCTTCTTGTAAATAAAGCTAAACCGTTCCTTTGAGTTGTCATATTTGTCTAAATGTGTGATGATCATTTAGACCAAAAGGTTTTCTTGTTCTTTCAAACTCGCAGTGCATAGGCCATTATGATTTACGTATGTTGGGTCATTCTGCCCTCATTCTTCCAAAGTTACAGAAACAGAATTGAATCTAACCTCAACTGTTAACGCCAACCTTAATCACAGATGCAGCCATATCCTGAGCGATGTAGGGGAGGTGAGGGTCTTCCGTCCACGGGACAAGGACGAGATGGTGAAGAAGGTGATCGAGCCCATGGCGTGTGACGGCCTGAGGACCATCTGTGTGGCGTACCGTGACTTCTCCAGTGACCCGGAGCCCGACTGGGAAGATGAGAACAGCATCCTGAATGACCTCACCGCCATCTGTGTTGTTGGGATAGAGGACCCTGTCAGGCCAGAGGTAGGAGGCTGTGAGAGGTTTGGGTGACATACTGAAACATTTCATATTGATCATAGCCAACAAACATGGTTATTGTAAGTTATTATGGGCAGTGAGTGCAATATCCGAGTGTGCACAAACTACAGTAGATAGGCAGGAAGGTGAATGACATGATTAGACAGGGTTATCAAAATCTTGCAACAGAAACTTGACTTTTTTCTTGCAGAGGATTATTATTATTATTTTTTAAATATTCTGCTCTGTTGAAGGCAAACAAAACACTATTTAAATAAGTGATGCATCAATAACTCATTCAAATCTTATACTGATGAATTGCACTTGAAGGAAAGGAGTAATATCCTTGGGAGAATATGGGATGGAAAGAGTGTCCAGCAGGAAACTGACCATACTTGACAGCTCCTGTGGAGGTACAGGGAAGCAGGAAGCTAGCTGACCACTGCATTATTCAACTTCTTCCATCCCCCACCTCTCATCCAACACGTTTTTCTGTTTCCAACTCTCTCTGAATCGTACGCTTTGACTTTCACCTTTCCCTGGTTCATGTCTCGTTCTCTTCACTCTCTCCGCACCTACCTTCCTCTATCTGCCCCTTTGTCTGCTTTCCTGTCTGAATCCGAGTTATGTAAGCATCTTAACAGATTTAGGTCAAATAAATAAATGCAAAAAGAAGACCATCATCCTCAAAATGAATAAGCAAACATTATAATACAATACAAAAATAAAAACTAGCCAGAAGCGCTTTTTGCATCACAGTGTTATATAAGGTAAGATGAGTGGAGATAAATATAAAATACACCATTTTAAGATGAAAATAATCAATACAAAAGCTGAATATTGCAGATTGGAACTCCAATAATTCAGATGTTTGCAAATGATGCAACATCTGATATGTATTTATTCACACCTTATGTGTTAATATACTCCCTTGCTTTGCACCAAGCCTGGCAGTTTGCAGCTTTTCATTTCTTCTTCAACTTTGAATCCAACACTTTTAATAACTGATGTGGAAAAGCATCGCACCGCTCGCTCCCTTGACATCTTTCCAGGGGTAAGACTGGCTAATATTGGAAAAGAGAGGATTTACGTTTTGCTACAAAGGTCACACAGAGTGGTAAACATGTTTTTGTTTTTGTTTATTAGTGTTTCGAATGCGATGTTCTTTTTAATAAGAAGCTGCTCTATAGGTTTGCCCCCAGAGAAACAAGAGGGGAGAGAAGAAAGAGAAGAGGGAAAGATGTAGCCCAGGAAAGATAAACCGATTCTAAATCAGATTCATGTCAGACAGATGTCGGTCTGCAGGAGACGGGTAAGTGGAGGAACGGAGGAGAGGGAAACCAAATCCATATTCGAGACACGAGAGGCTTGTTTTTCTGTTTCACCTACTAGCCTCCTCCATCGGGCCAGATTGTATTTTTAATAAGCCTCCTCTTTCGGATCACCAGTCAACTAGAGCAGTGGGAATCCAAAGCAAAAAGAGTGAAACAGACAGAAGGGGTGACAGATAAGCAGACGGGAACTTGATATCTTGATAACAATGACTTGGTGAGAGCAGAGAAGGCAGAGCTTAATAACTTGCTCCACTTGCCACGATATTTAATGCGAGATCTGAATTGAAAACGGACTTCTAACGGATGAATGGAGCGTCCTCTTATTGTTATTTTTGTAAATGCACTATTTAAATACTGATTATAATAAGCCTATGGGATTATTCGTGAGCAATATTGTTTTCATTTCTAGAAAAAAACAACTCCCTTGACCACCTCCTCATGGGAAAACCAGAAAAAGCTACCAAATTAATTATTTCATAAATTGGTTGAATCAGAAACACAACCCTGCTCACTTCAAAAAGCTATTTTGTCTGTTGTGACTAGTAGCATATGACCTATAGGCAGACTTTAGGGAAATGCTGCTTTGTAATTCACATTACTGACTCAACTATACATTTTCTCCACTTATAATATATTTGAGTTGTTATACCACATGTGGCAGCTGTAGAGCAACGGTTATTAGCTTTAAACAACAAGAAGATGTGTCTATTGTGTAAGGCACAGGGGTTAGTAAACATAACGTTCATATTTTCCATATCTTCTTTGACTCACACGAGACGGTACGTTTAGCAATGTTTAGTCTAGCTAGCTAATGGGCATAGTATTTGTGATGGACAGGAGAATTTGGTGCAACTTCCAGAGTATCCGACTCAGACTACACTGATTACAGCGTCAGCCAGGAGAGCATCGAGCCCAGAGGGGAGCAGAGTCTGAGGAGGGTCAGCTGGAGGCAGGGGCAGAGAGACGCCCAGAGAGACGCCCAGAGATGTCCTGAACAAAGCAAAATGAATATACAAGCAGAGGACAGTCTTGATGATTGAGAGGGATTATCATTGTATGAATCTATAAAATGTCTTTCACAAAAACCCTAGCTTTTGTGCCTTTGAAGCTACATGTCTACTTAATGAGCCGTACATTATAATTATGAGATTTTGTTTAACCTCCTGCTCAGTAGAGACCTTCCCTCCTCCACTATATACATTACCTTTCTATTACGCTGTCTTTAAACCAACACATCTACGAGCAGCTTGATTTGGCTGTTTATTATGCCAACATATTTACACATTGCAGAGGAGGATTATTTTGGTCTTCACTCTTTTGTTGCCCTTTACATGTGTGTGATTGTGAGCACAACAATGCTCCAATGGCTAATGTGTGTATGTGCTATATGTCCAAAGGAGGAATAGATAAATGTAGTCCCGGGCCTGTGTGCATGTGCACATGGATGTGAGTTGCTGTTACTGTATGTGCACACGTTTGTTTGTCTGTGTGTGGGGAAGAAGATGTTTCTGAATGAATACTCTGCTTTTGCTTGCTGGTTATACCACAGATCAATCTGCTACATACAGTCACTTCTTCCACTCTATTAGTTTGAAGGGAAAAGAGAGATTCCATTCAAATCTTGTGTAATATATTATATTCATTTAAAATTTGACAAAGTTAATGTTATGTTACTACTGAGGAATCAGAATTCTGATCAAATAAGACCTTTTTTTTTTTTGTCTATTTGAGGCTAAGTCAAAAAGATAGCTTCATTTGATATGCTCTTAAAGTGAGTGATTACGTGAATGTGAAAGGAGTTCACCAAAGTGAATCAGAGAAACACCCTTACTGGTTATGATTTAGTAATCCTCTCATACTGTTGGGCTGTTAGCGATACAGCAGGCAGCTGTGATGTAGCCCTAAAGACTTTATATTACCTTTCTAGCACCAAATGGCAGAGCTATGAAATATGTCTTCCTCTTTAGGTGCCTGATGCTATCTTGAAGTGCCAGCAGGCAGGCATCACAGTTCGCATGGTGACAGGAGACAACATAAACACAGCCAGGGCCATAGCCATCAAGTGTGGAATCATCCACCCCGGAGAGGACTTCATCTGCATCGATGGCAAGGAGTTCAACAGGAGGATCCGCAATGAGAAAGGAGAGGTACAGTAGCTACTTACGACTCGACAAATCTCCCTTTAAATGTCAGTTAGTGTGGCTTAAGAATACAAAGTTCCAGCGTTTGATATTGCGAATGTAGTAAGGCAGGGGTGTCAAACTCAAACCGGCCCACGACCTCATTTGACATGGCCCACAAGAGCTTGCAAAGAATACAATTAGTGTAATTGTTGCATATTTGCTTTCAATGATTTGCCCTAGACTTCTGCTTTCAGGCGTAGTTATTTATGAAGTTATTACCAGAACTGATAATAATCCAATAATATAATATATATATACATTAATATATATTAGTTATATATGTATATTTATATAGTCTTAAAGTTACATCCGGCCCTTTGAGTGCAACCAGAATGCTAATGTGACCCGCGATGAAATTGAGACACGCCTGTAGGAAGGTATCACACACACATCTTAACGACAAAGCAGACAAATCTCAAATGTCTGGCCACGTCAAAAAGAACATTCTAAGTTTCAGCCTAGTGGCTTCCATCAGATCATGAAAGGTTGGTATACTGGAGTTAAAAGTGATTGGTTTTAAAGGTCACTTGGTAATTAAATTCTTAAGGTCCCTTTGACTCTGACGATTAAAAAAATGCTAAAAACAGGTGAAATACCTTAGAGTTTCACGGTTATCGCTGAGGTTTCACACTCTATGAAATATTCCCTACGTTTTGAAGTAAATGACCATGTTACCTTTCTCACCTCCTATGTAGAAAGATATGACTCCCATTTTCTTTCCAGCCCTGACGAAGGCCACCAGGTCAAAACATAACCATGTTTCTTTTGACGTGGACGGACAAACTTGGTGGTATCTGTGTCTGACTTTTTACCTTTGGGTATTCAACGCTGGTACAGAAACCACTGTGACTCGGCTGAGCTAAGAACAAGAAAGATTCCCCTCGAACTACCTGACCTTTTATTTTTCTGTGTGTGTGCGTTCCCAGGTGGAGCAGGAGCGCATTGACAAAGTGTGGCCTAAACTCCGAGTTCTGGCCAGATCTTCCCCAACCGACAAACACACACTCGTCAAAGGTGAACTGGTTGCACAATTTCATATTCATTACTGTTGATAGAAATAAAACTCATCTCAACATTTTCTAAACACAATTGTCTCTCCGAAGCTGTAAATAACTGAAATGATTCGTCTAAGTATATTGTTGATCATGTGGGGTTATTTGTATTGAGTTACAATGTATGTGCCCTGTGTGTTTCAAAGGCATTATTGACAGTACCTTAGGAGACCAGAGGCAGGTGGTGGCTGTGACAGGAGACGGGACCAATGATGGACCTGCACTAAAGAAAGCTGATGTCGGCTTCGCTATGGTGAGCAAACCCTATTTTCTCTTTTGCTGCCCTTTGAGATTGATCTCAGTCAACATCTGCAGATATCTTTTGTAGGGTTCCTCTCAGGCCCTCTGCCTCTAGCTGTATAGATTAGGAGCTCCCCCTGGTGGATTTCTGAACTCATTCAATTCCTCTGCCATACATACCATAATACGTCATTACTACTTCTGCAACGACTTAAAAAACGAAAAACAAACTAAGTCTTTTCTTCTTGTAACTCTCAGCTTTATATGTATTTGTCATGCAGCTGTTATACTGTTTCATCTATTTCTGTTGTCTCCCTAATTAAATAATTTGGCTCCTCCACATCCATTTCCTGCTTGATTCAATAATGAAGACAGTGATTTCCATACTTGTGTTCATGCTTGTTCAGCTGAGCTCAAGTTCTTCTTCATTGTCGCCACCTGTCTTGCTTGAAATATAACTATTTAAGTGAATTTTAACTGTTTAAACTCTTAATTGATTTGGTAATCTGATTCATTATAAATCTGAGGAGTCTCAGTTGTAAGGTGTAGAACACTCTTCCATGCTAACTCACCAACATTTCCTCACATGTGGCATTATTTTGATCACCACTATGAACACTTTTGAGGTGCTGAGCCCTGATACTCGTCCTGTAACTCACCAGAGATGACAGAATATCAAGGAGGGTGCCCTTGATATGGAGCCTACCAACACACCAACGCCTTCATTAGTCTGCATCATCATCATTATTCACCATTAGAGCTGACTTGTGTCTTCAGTCCAGTTTTCTCTAGTGGCTACAAAGATCTCTTTCAATGTTCCTGTGGTTTTTGATAATGCAGTATGATGCAATAGATACTAGTTCTGACTGCTCCTTTTCTGCTCTCCTCAGGGTATCGCTGGTACAGATGTGGCCAAGGAGGCGTCAGATATCATTCTGACTGATGACAACTTCAGCAGTATCGTGAAAGCAGTAATGTGGGGCCGCAACGTCTACGACAGCATCTCCAAGTTCCTTCAGTTCCAGCTCACTGTCAACGTCGTGGCCGTCATAGTGGCTTTCACCGGCGCCTGCATCACACAGGTCAGAGGCGTGTGCAGTCACTGCCACAAACAGTTGGCAGGTTACCATTGGCAACAATTCGAAGACATTGGCAACCAATGATTTGGCTGTATTTCGTATACCAGGAATTGAGGGTGAACATATTGACTGATAACACAAGTTGTGTAAGGTATCACTTAAACACAAACAAAGAATGTGTTTGGACGTCTGGCGTCTCAGGGTTATTGAGTGGTTCTTCTTTCATGTCATATTTGAATTTATACCAATTACATATAAATGCATAATCACTTTTAATCTAAGGTGACTAAAATTGCAACAGTGTTTTCAGGTTCTTTAACCCAAAGCTGATATTTCTTAAAGTCAGTGTCGGGCTCTGTTGTGTGGGCACGTGATTGGGTTTTACTTGCCTAACTAATCTACTCTTTAATCCAAAAGCTTTTGAGTGCAATTCTTAAGCAAATATCTAGTCAAACAACCGAGGTAATGAAATACGAGTGTGTAAAGACAGTAAATGAGTTCCAACAGAAGTATTGGTTATGGATTACTTCTCACCCCTGGAAGTATTGAAGTCATTGTTTTGTAATTGCAATTGACCTTGTGTTTCCGCAGGACTCCCCCCTGAAGGCTGTGCAGATGTTGTGGGTGAACCTGATCATGGACACCTTTGCCTCCCTGGCCCTGGCCACAGAGCCTCCCACCGAGTCTCTGCTGAAGAGGAAGCCGTACGGTCGCAACAAGCCTCTCATCTCCAGCACTATGACAAAGAACATCCTGGGACACGGAGTCTTTCAGCTCATCATCATCTTCACGCTGCTATTTGCTGGTACGGACTGCAAGTTTGCGCCACAGGAGTTCTGCACCTTAATGATGTGACGCAAAAAGGCTCAGATGTTAAGTCCTCCTCATAGTAATTGTCTTCCCTCCCTCTTGCAGGTGAGAAGATCTTTGACATTGACAGCGGGCGTAATGCTCCTCTCCACTCTCCTCCATCTGAGCACTACACCATCATCTTCAACACCTTCGTCATGATGCAGCTCTTTAACGAGATAAATGCCCGCAAAATCCACGGAGAGAGGAACGTCTTCGATGGTATCTTCAGGAACCCCATCTTCTGCACTATTGTATTTGGCACCTTTGCTGCGCAGGTACGCAGATGCAAATGATTTGACTTCATGATTATTTTTTCAAAGTTGGTTACCGGTCGAAGTAAAATGAAACTCTTTTTTCCCTTCGCTTGCTTTGTGTAGATTGTGATTNCAATATAAATCTTTAAACGTCTTCTTACCTTTAAAAGTCCAACACGAACGGTCTATTATGCTGCAACTCTAATGCGCTGCTAGCCGCAGATAGCCCAGAAAGTCTTCTGGGCTATCTGCGGCTAGCAGCGCATTAGAGTTGCAGCATAATAGACCGTTCGTGTTGGACTTTTAAAGGTAAGAAGACGTTTAAAGATTTATATTGCGGATATTGTCAGCACATCTGAGTCAAATTAACATGTGTATTAAAGGATGTTAGTGGATTATCCCTAAATCTACTGATTTAGTTTACAGATAACAGATTAGGCTAGGATTCCGGATAAAGTTAGCAACACACGTTAACCACGAACAGCCTATTCATCCGTTCTCTTAAAGGTCCCATGTCATGCTTTTCCGGTTATTACCCGTCCCCTTGTGTGTTATGAAGGTTTTTATGCATGTAAACGGTCTGCAGAGTCAAAACCCTCAAAGTACACCCTGTAGCGAGTAAAACTCTAACACAGAAAATACCTCCCCAAAACGCCTCGTTGGGAGATACGTCACTGTCCATTGATTCTTCCGGGTACCGCATGATGTCATGCGTTACCCGGAACCAAATGGACCAATCCGTGGAGCCGTTACGTTACGTCCGCGGAGCCGTTACGTNAGCTACCCTGCAGTATACAAAGTCATTCAAACTAGCTGCACCTTTACCAGCTTTGAGAACACTTTCATGATCAATCATTATAAAACATATCATATATATTATTCTGAAATGGACCAATCTGCACAATGACTACTTTCACTGTCGCTACTTTAACTATATTTTGATGAGAATACTTTTCTACTTTCACTTGAGGAACATTTTGAATGCAGGACTTTTACTGTAACAGAGTATTCCTACACTCTGGTACTTCTACTTTTACTAAAGTACAAGATCTGAGTACTTCTACTTTTACTCAAGTACAAGATCTGAGTACTTCTACTTTTACTCAAGAACAAGATCTGAGTACTTCTACTTTGACTCAAGAACAAGATCTGAGTACTTCTACTTTTACTCAAGTACTAGATCTGAGTACTTCTACTTTTACTCAAGTACAAGATCTGAGTACTTCTACTTTACTCTGAGTACTTCTCCTTTTACTAAAGTACAAGATCTGAGTACTTCTCCTTTTACTCAAGTACTAGATCTGAGTACTTCTACTTTTACTCAAGTACAAGATCTGAGTACTTCTACTTTTACTCAAGTACTAGATCTGAGTACTTCTACTTTTACTCAAGTACTAGATCTGAGTACTTCTACTTTTACTCAAGTACTAGATCTGAGTACTTCTACTTTTACTCAAGTACTAGATCTGAGTACTTCTACCTCTGCTCATATTGCATTGCTATTTGTAAAGAAAAGACTGCTTTAGAAATAAACCTGTGGACACCCTGTGTGTGTGTGTGTGTGTGTGTGTGTGTGTGTGTGTGTGTGTGTGTGTGTGTGTGTGTGTGTGTGTGTGTATGTGTGTGTGTGAGTGTGTGCGTGTAGATCAAGTGTAATGGCTTCACGCTGAGTGACCAGAGAGGCCTTCAGGCTGTGGGTGTGGGTCTTTTCCCTAACCTCTGTCTGGTGAACCATGACTGTTGGCCCAACTGCACCGTCATCCTCAACCACGGCAAGTAGGTGTCCATCTGATCCCTCCGTCATTATCTTATAATAAAACTATATTTTATTCACGTCATTATTTATTGATGCTTCTTGTTGAGAGTGTTGCTTTGTGTTGCAGCCAATCAGCGCTGAGCTCTGCCCTCCACTCTCAGAGGAGGTACGTATTACATCGATTACATCCGATAGACTTTTTGCACTAGTTTTTATTTTGTATTTTATTCTATATGTTGCATTGTTGGAGGAGCTCAGGTCAGAAGAATTTCATGCCATTTCTACACTGTAGCTTTGTGCATATGATGATAAAACCTTTGAATCTTGATCAGCCCTCAGTGTGGTTTTAAATGGCTGAACGTGTGTGTGCTATATGCTCAAAATTAGAAAGAAGTATAAGACTGTTTCATGACCACTGAAACAGCGTATAGTCATGACATTTAATTATCTTTTAAGTCATTAATGCAACATAATTATGTCAATTGATGTCCATAGTCCCTGATAAATACACATGGTCATTAAAGAGCCTGTGACACGTGTTTCCCCCATCATCCAAACCCGTCAATTTGATTAAATATTGTCCCCTTGAAAACCGTTACTGAACTGATTTTGGATATTTGTACTTTGATGACCATTAATCTGCCCTTCAATGTTGACCATTTTCTGGATCTTCTCGCGGATTCTTCAAATCCAGCCAAACAGTGAAGCGTTCACGCATTGACGTCACTTTCGGCTTCCCCCAAAACTTCAAAATGAGTCGAAGGAATTTCCCCGCGATGTTCAAAATTATTGATATTTATCAGAACGGTATCCCACCTTCTTTTTTAAGCTGACGGTTCGAGATGACTAGTAGCCCAATATTTCATTGCACAACAGTTGTTGGGAGGCTGTCACAGGCTCTTTAACTTTCTTACCAAGACTTAGATGAGATCCTTGGTATCCTTCATGTCTGTAAAATACAGTATGATGCTAGAGTCAACAGCTTAGCTTAGTTTAGACAGGAAACAGGAGGATCGGATGATGGAGACTAGCCTTCTGTTAGCGGCTGAAACCGGTCAGCTGTGTGCGTCTCATCGTCGTCTTGAAATTAAGCCATAAATTAACAACTAACTGACACAATATTGGGATTGGAGAGGTAGCAAAAAGCTGCTATCAGATCCAGAAAACGCTTCTCTTCTGTCCCAGGATCGAGCTGCGAGCTGTGGGGAAGATCTCCGAGGGTGAGGAGCTGACCGTGAGCTACGTGGACTTCCTCAGCCTGTCTGCTGACCGCCAGAAGAACCTGAGGGAGAGTTTCCACTTCGAGTGCACCTGCCAACACTGCAGCGAGAAGATCAGTGACGACTTGATGACGGCCACCGCAGAGAAGGACGGGAGCAAAGTCGGTTTAACATCAAATCAAATCAAACTTTATTCGTATAGCCCAATATCACAAAACACGTTTGTCTCAGTGGGCCATTTGTTGTTCTTTTGGCATTTCTTTGGCAGTCCTTTTTTAAATGTTGTTATGTATATGATGAAGTCTCACCACATGCAGAATCCTTTCCACTTCTCTATTTACCTTTTTGAGGTCCTGTGTATTGATTTGTGTGCTGTGTCTCTCTCTCAGCCGTCTGCTGATAAGGTGAAGGAGATCATCGCCCTCAGTAAGGAGTATCTGGAGAAGATTGATATTGCCCGTGTTGATCGGGACTATCATAAGGTACGCCACTTCAATCCTGGATTTCTTTTTGTTGGGAAAATCCTGAATGTAATCTTCCAATCTGAGAGTAACATGATATCAAAGGTATCAACTGTAGCTGTGAACATGACAGGATGTGTGATTACCTAGAAGAGCATCAGGACTGTTTGAGGCATATGATAGCTATGTGATTAACATGATGATTCAGCCTCTATGGAGAGAGACATATGACAAGCATGATCATTTCTGACGTGGAGCTAATCTGAAGTAAACATTGAATACTGCTTTCTATTCCTCCATCTTGTGACTGTGTGACTCCCTCTCTTGGATATCAGCATGTGAAGGACACTGTTCAGGAACTAGTTGATGCTCTGTATGTGATGACTACTTCCATTCTGGAGAGGATCACAGATACATGGATCCTGAGGCTCAAGCCGGGGACGAGTGCTGCCAATGATCTTTTAGATTTGGTTCAGAAGCTTTAAGTTAACCGTATTCTCCATAAACTGGTTTAAATTTGTCTGAAACCTCTCTAGTTGCAGAAAGTACCGCAGCAGCAACAGGTGGACGTGTTGAAGGACCTGTTCCCTATGATGGTGCGAATCAATACTCCAACGTAGGCTATCCTGTTACAAATGAAGGTATGTTTTCCAACTTTTAGACTGGATTAGAAGCATTAAATCACATTTATTCCCTAAAAACGTGGATATTTTGCCTAAACATGTCTGTTTCAGGCCAGACTGGTCTTGATGATGCTCCTTTTCCCTATGATGGTGCAAAACCTGTGTCAATAGAATGTAGGTCTCTCAATAAAACCATTTAGAAGCTTAAAATTAAGGTATTTGTTTATTTGTCATGGACTCCTTGACTTTATGGCTAAATCTATCTCTAGTTTCCCCCAGTGGACGTGTTGATGGACCTGTTCCCTTTGATGATGCTACTCAATACGCTAAAACAGGGTACGCCATTACAAATGAAGGTCAGTCTTCAATCTTTTATACTGGTTTAGAAGCATTAAATCACATTTATTCCCTAAAAACGTGGACATTTTGCCTAAATATGTCTGTTTCAGGTCCGACTGGTCTCTATGATGGACCTGTTCCCGATGGCACTGCTACTCGTTATGCCAACGCAAAACCTGTGTCAATAGACTGTAGGTCTTCCAATAAAACCATTTGGAAAATTAAGGTTTTTGTTTATTTTTCATGGACTCCTTGACTTTATGGCTAAATCTATCTCTAGTTTCCCCCAGTGGACGTGTTGATGGACCTGTTCCCTATGACGATGATACTCAATACGCCAACGCAGCTCCGATAAATGCCGGTGAGTCTTTTAAGTTTTAAACTGGTTCAGAATCTTTAAATTAACTATAAACTGCTGGACATTTCGCCTCAAACTGCCTCTGGTTCCAGGTCAAACTGGAAGTAACCCAGCTGCCCCAGGTGGACTCTATGATAGACCTGATCTCTATGGTGGTGTAAAACCTGTGTCAATAAAAGGTAAGTCTTACAAACTATAGAACCGTTTAGAAGCTTGAAATTAAGTTTTTGTCCATGGACTCCTTGACCTTTTGGCTAAATCTATCTCTAGTTGCCCCCAGTGGACGTGTTGATGGACCTGTTCCCTTTGATGATGCTACTCAATACGCTAATATTTGGGCCTCAAACTGCCTCTGGTTCCAGGTCAAACTGGAAGTAACCCAGCTGCCCCAGGTGGACTCTATGATGGACCTGATCTCTATGGTGGTGCAAAACCTGTGTCAATAAAAGGTAAGTCTTCCAAACTATAGAACCATTTAGAACGGGGGTTCCCAACCTTTTTCCCCAAGAGCCCCCCCAAATGACTCCTGTTGGAAGTTGCGCCCTGACTCTTNTACAGGGTGTACTTTGAGGGTTTTGACTCTGCAGACCGTTTACATGCATAAAAACCTTCATAACACACGTCATGCTTTTCTGGTTATTACCCGTCCCCTTGTGTGTTATGAAGGTTTTTATGCATGTAAACGGTCTGCAGAGTCAAAACCCTCAAAGTACACCCTGTAGCGAGTAAAACTCTAACACAGAAAATACCTCCCCAAAACGCCTCGTTGGAGATACGTCACTGTCCATTGATTCTTCCGGGTACTGCATGATGTCATCCGTACCCGGAATGAAATGTTACGTTACGTCCGTGGAGCCGTTACGTTAAGCCCCCGCTGATTGTTCCAAATTGACCAATCCACGGACTTCCTCACACACACACTCAGTGCATGCAGCTCTGGTGATCTCTCCTCCCTGGCTGCAGGCTGATAACAGACAGTTGGGATCGCGGCGAAATTCTCTCTGCAGACCCATTCTCACAGCGTTTATCAACCTTTTTCTTACTCAATATCAAGCCACACTTATTGTTTTTACTTCGGCTGTGACTTTGTGTGTGCTCAGGATGAGTTTAGCTGTGTTTCGCTAAACAAGGAAACAACACCTCCACGGAGCTTAGCGCGATTCACTACGTCCCAACCAATCAGAGCACACTGTGCTCACAGGGAGGGTGGGGGCTGGAGCTACTGGAGCTACAACGAGCCGTTAAAGGCAGAGAGTGAAATTCAGTGAATACACATAGTTTACAGAGATGCTGTATGAGAAACCAATGTGAGTTTGGAAAATTGCACAATATAAATGTATTCTAGTAGACCTCAACAATGGAATTATGATCAGTAGAAATGGCCAGGATATGGGACCTTTAAGGTTGTAAAATCCTTTGAGGCACATTTGTTTTGTAGCTAATAAGATAAACAATGTCAAGGTTTCACTTTTCTGTGTTTCTTAAGTTACATTTTTTGATAAATTGAAGCCAATATGTTTGAAGGACTCGGAGCATCTGTGAAGATTTGACTGAATATCGCTAACTTCATCTCCTTAGTAAGTTATATGTCTGCTTTCAATGTTTACTTAAGCAGCTCGATATATTGAAACAACATTTTCTTTGGAGACGAGAAACATCGATCCATTCGGGCTCAGGCACATTATACGTGTACCTTTAACTACAGCTGATGTGAGCCAGAGGTTAAACAGAAGAGGGTTGGAGAGGAAAGTCATCTAAAATCTCATTAATCATTAAAACACAATCAGTGCACTGTCCCTTGGTCACCTGGTAATTAGACATATCTGGGTAATGTCCAGCTGTGTGTCTCACATACACAGACAAGAGTATAAATACTTTATACCCAGTTTGCGGTAAATAACGGAATGAATGCCTTTTCCTAATGACCACTGATTACATCAGGAAGACACTGCCTGTCATCGGCTAATGAGGGGATGAAACAAATGTTGTCATCTGCACTGTCCACTAAGTGTTTGGAGAACAGGCTCCCAGCAACAGGAAAACATCAAACTAAATGACTGAATAACCAGCTGAAAACCATGCAGGGTGTAGGTCAGTTTGAAATGATTATGTAAGCATGAAGCTGGGGTATATAAGAGGTGTTGGCCTTACTGTATATTGCATATTAAAAGATGCTCGTTTGGCATCATGTTTTCACTTTGTATGATTTTTTCTTCCTTACTTTGATTACTTTGCTTCTTTACTCTGATGGTGATAAGTGTCAGTTTAGATAGCAAACTCACTTACATGCAAAACACATTGTATTGGAACAATGCATGAAATAATAATAATAATTTGCCTTGAAGTCATAACTTTTCACTTTAAGGAGCGTAATCTGTTGAAGAGGTCCTCAGTAATTCCACTTGTTTACTATAAGTTCCCGACTCATTGTTGCTGGCAGAAGGAAATAAATAAATGGCCGACATAACGCTGCCCTTAATGCTCTGAAATTCCACAAAGGTATAGCCTGACGTGAGTTCCTACGCACAAAAGCAGTGTCTGGCATGGGATGCCTAACGTTGGCATAACGGAGCTATGTTTGGCACTTCCCGGCCTGGCCGTGGCGGAGGACCAGCTGCCCTCTCTCTGGTCCTTGGGTGCTCCCGCAGGCAAGGACATATGCCAAGGGGAGAGCTGGCAACTTTACTTCCTCTTCCACCTGGGGCTCTCCTTAATCCATCCCTCCTGTTCCTGTTCCTTCCCCTGATCTTCCATATTCTTCCTCTTCTCTTCACACTCAACCCCGCCCTTTTACTACTCAGTGTTCATCCTTCTGTCCCTATACTTTACATCGTGTCTTCCCTTCTCTCATCCCCTTAAATCCTTACCATTCTTCCTCTCTATGGATGACTTACCACTTTTCCATACTACCAGTCTCTACAGTATCCTACAAGGCGGACCCCCCCCCTGCCTCCACCTTCCTCCTCGATCCCTCTTGTCTGTAGGATTGGGTGATATTCTAGCTCTCCACATGACTGTACCAGCCAACTGGGCTAAGGCCTGGAGGCATGCTGCAGGGCAGCCATACAGCCCTGCAGTCCATGATGAGGACAATCGTCACGCGAGTGTGGTTTCTCTCATCTCTTCCTGTATACTTTTCCGATCTTCTTTCATCCTATTTTTGCACATATCCTTGCTTGGCTCCTCCCTTCCAGTTGCTTTGATTTATTTTCCCCTTGTTTCTCTTCCTGTCCTTTATTTGCCCTTCTACTGCAGGGATAGTAGTAGTCGGAAAAAAACAATGCGAAAAGGCATGAATCGCATATCCTTTCTTGTACAACTTTATTTTAATTTTAGAATACTATGCCTGTAGCTTTGACTGTGCCTTGATGATCAATTTCACAAAAATCTTTTTGAAAGTCAGTCCATTTAGGGGAATTCTAGGAGGTGTAGTCACTATGGGTTTAACTGATAATGGTAAAACAAGCCTCGGAGACACTATACTGCTTTCCCCTGTGCTCAAAGACGCTTCAAGCAAATAAAGAAGGCTTTAATACTGAAGCCAGTTCATATTGTTTTACTACTTTGTATTTAATATACACTGGTCTATAAAAAATGGAAACACAGTAACTGAGAGCATGAAATCTATCATGTCATGTGTGAGGGAAACGCAGGGAGCCCATTAAGCTTGGTGCCTCTGACACATCAAAGCATTGTCATTCTAATGTGATGACGACCTCTCTTTCACTGCCATCTCAGCAACACTGTCACGTCTGTAAGCAAGTGCTGAACACAGAAAGAGAGAACAAGAGAAGGACATAATTCAGCTGAAGATGTCTCTGCTTCCTCCACTGAATCTCTGTCTCTGAGTCCAAAACTACTCCATGGGGACACTGGGTGCTTCAAGCCAAAGACATCCGAGATACTCTCATCTCTCCTCCATGCTGTGCAAACAAGCACGCCACGTCCAGATGACAAAAGCACTGTGAGCCAATTATAGTAGGACCCCACTACTCACTACCAAACAAAAATGAGGCAGTGCATTTAATTACAGGCAGAACATTGCGCATTGTGGACGACATATGACGTTTTTTCAACATTTAAAGTGAACTGAAATGTCTCTATAATCCCTGTTCAACATCAACACATTCTGGTGAATCTGTTTGCTTATCTTCATACTGAGCTACTGTAAAAGTCCCCTTGTACCTATACCTCACAATTGAAGCCATCTGTGTGTGTGTTTGTGTGTGTGTGTGTGTGTGTGTGTGTGTGTGTGTGTGTGTGTGTGTGTGTGTGTGTGTGTGTGTGTGTGTGTGTGTGTGTGTGTGTGTGTGTGTGTGTTTGCATTAACTGTGTGCATGTGTGTGTATCATCCACCTCTCTTGTCCCTGAATAATGACCTGAACAGGTGGTTGAAAAGCCACATGAGATTGAGCTCCAAGGACAGTCACAGCCACGCTCAACACATGACACTGTGCTGCAAGAGAATACACCTGTGAGCTGAGTGCCTCCTACAGTGTGGGTATGCCTGATAGGACAGATGTGTGGCAGGGTTTGCATCTGAAAATGTCTGTTTACTGTGCCTTTGAAGCTTCGATTGAGGTTTTCAAATCAAGTTTTCAATATTTTATAATGGCATTGCTGGTTTTTATAGACCCATATAATATGTATCATACAAAATGTAAAACCTATGAAAGTGAACTGAAAGTTGAGAGGGAAACAGAAGAATGTAAGTATGACTAAATCAATGGAGATTTTGTCTGTATAGCTCTTGCCACTGGCAGAGATGCATATCCTCTTACGGTGAAAATGTATATTGACGTCACTGAATGGTGTTCACAAATTGCTCAGTAGCTCGCTTGACTTGTCTGCAAGATACATCCCAGGCGAACTGGTGTTCTAATTTGTATGCATGTGTGCACGCATCCTCTTTCAGAATATACAATAAATGAATGTGCCCATGAATACAGTATATAGGAGCATGTGCGTGTACTGTATAAGTGGTTATACTTTATGTGTGCATGGATTCATTGTGTAAATGTCTGTGAATTTCTCCCTCAAGGACGAGGCTTCTCCACTTAGAGTTGCTATGTGCTGACAGAAGAAGCAAAGCCATACCATGGGCTGTATTATACAGCTAGAGAGGAAGTAGGGGGACTGATACGGGTATCAAAGCCTGCCTTTTTGCCTTTGTGTCTTTGTGGTGGCCATCAAAGACTTCCATAGCCATCCTGGCATCCCACAGGATTGGCCTCTTACATAAGAACACACCAGCCAGCGTACTGCAGAGCTGGAGTGGCGCTGAGGGAGTGGGGGTGGAAGGGGGAAGGAGAAGGGAGATGTACTAAATATTCTTCAGATATGTTCCTTTTCGCATCTGGCTTTATTAGTTCATTCCTTAATTATCTCTGTCCTTATCTATCTTGCTCTCTTGTTTCTTGTATTTCCTTCCAGAAAGAGCGCTCAATAAATAAATGTTCTGTACTATTTATGGGATAGATTTTGTCTTCAATACTACCATAAAATAATGTATGTGTGTTCTTTGGCTATGTGTATGTATGCATGCATGAATGAAGAGATGTAGATGTATGTATAAGCAATGTTGTCAGTTGGGTATCTAGAACAGAAGATGCTTTTGTCAAATACTTTTTGGGATGGACGGTGTCAACAGTACACATACTGTATATATCATTTAAAATTCACCCCAAAATGTAACTTTTATGAATGAAGAGATTATGAAACAGACTGAATGTGCCATTTAATCCGCCACGTCGGCCTTGATTCTGTTGAGCTAAGCAGCTATGGAGGTACAATAGTCTGATGTAATGCTGCAAAGCGTTCCTCAAAGGTTTTTATATGGATAACATCTTGTTATTGTAGCACATCATGGGGAAGAATTGCTGTGTGTAAAGGCAGCCTAGGCAACCCTTATAGTCCCATCAACAAAACATTCGTGTAGCTATAGTAAACATTCAATGACTTTCGATTATTTAAAAAAAAATGGTTATATAATAGACCAGGGGTGTCAAACTCAATTTCATCGCGGGCCACATTAGCATTATGGTTGCACTCAAAGGGCCAGTTGTAACTATATAAATATACATATATTACATATAATATATATTATATAATATATATATAAAATAATATATTATATTACGTTATTGCCTCTGAATTGGATTATTATCGGATAGGGTAATAACTAACTACGTTTGAAAGCAGAGGTCCAGTGCAAGTCTCTTCAGTGCGCATGTCACAAAACGAGATGCATTGTGGGACATGTAGTTTATGGGCAACCTGGTTCTGTAAAGTGGCATGTAACCGTATAATAAACGTATTATATTCTTTGCAAGCTCTTGCGGGCCACATAAAATGAAGTCGCGGCCGGATTTGAGTTTGACACCCCTGTCAGTATTGTGTTNAAAATGTATTTTACAAAACTTAGATTAAACACAGTCAGCTATGTAAAGACTACGACGGTTTTTCTCCTATTCATAATAGATAAATAAAAAAGAATCAAATTGAAGACTTTACGCCTGAAAAAGTCCACATTAGGTCAAAAGAACGTCCAATTCACCGAAACAAGAAAAAAAAACGCGGTAAGCCGCGGGTACTCTGGCTAAAACAGTAAGCAAGCTCGCAGAACAGGATAGAGCACCACGCGCCTCGGAGTACACGCTCACTAGCACACTTTGGCAACGTCATATAAGTCTGTACGTTGCTTGCCTCTCTTAGGCCAGTTACAACAGCTTTATTATGTGTGAGGCGCTGGACTGGTTAGGCGTAAAACGCAGTTAGTCACTATTTTTAAGCGAGGTAACTATTGTCTTTTTAAGTTGTACCGGATTGTAAAGACTAGAACGTCCGTCTTCCAACCTACATAAGCCAAAAGTCAGCACAACGTTCTATATATAGTGATTGTGATCGCCTCGGACACATCAACGCCAATCATTGTATTGACTGAATAATAAGAGACAAGTAGTGTCACGATACCACTCTTGTATAGTTAGTACCTCTGTCAAGTAAAAAGGTTTTAGACTAAGCACTACACCGACACACCTACAACACTAAAACAGCTCTCAGAGGAGAAGGAGGGAGTCGAATACCGAAGGAGAAAAACAACAACAAACACGATCGGAGACCCATCAGTACGAGAACATTTGACATAAACAAAACATCGGTTACACACACCAACTAGATACAAAACACACATTAATTGTATTACCGGGACTGATATTGAACAGAGAAAACAAAGGAGTTCACCGACGTAGATATAACATTAACACCAAACAATATTAGAAAAAACGGAAACCAGGGGAGGGGTATATAGCAACACTATGTCCGCAGGAGCAGGTTTCGACACATCACAATAATGACTACACGAACTCTGTAAGGTGGGTTACGCGGCCGTGTACCGCCTATAGGTAAAGTATACAATTCTAACGCAACGAATCTTAAAACCACCGTTTCCAGCATGTCCAATCTCACTAGATCGTCAGTAAAACAAAGAGACAAGGTTTTTGAGAGACAGTCCTGTAAGCATTACGGCACTCTGGCTCCGTCACAGCGTCTGCGGCTACCATTAGAATGTGCAAGCCGCGACTCTCACCGACTGGACTACCAGGACCACCTGCGAAACCGTCTACAGCCAACACCAGGACCTATCCACTCCAGCGTATCTTCAGAGGTGTTGGAGGTCTCAAGTTGGTACGAGCTACCACTACGAAATACCCCAACTAGAGCCGTAGAATCGATAGGTATTTCGAACTTCTTAAGTAAGCCTGTCGAAACCACACATCCTAGACTACCTGACCTTAGTAGCGTTCCGACAAGGGGGGTTTCATGTCCGTCCACCTTAACATTAACCGAGTCACCCCAGGCGAAGAGCTGGCCATAGCTCCTGGAGACATTTTAGGACCTGCTTGCGCGTATCAAAAGCCTCAGTCTCGTGAACAGAAGTTAGAAAGAAAGAAAATGGAACGGAAACCATAGAGAGGATATAACAAAAACTTCACAGAGAGGACATTAGCCTAGATGTCGTGCATCAACTTGAGACACCTACACAAAGAATCTGGATACCGACGGAACAGCGACTCCCCTCATCCACAGACACACTTCTCTTCTCCAAACGAAATTACAATTCATGGTAACACAACTTAGTTGTTTCCACCAGACTAACATACTTAGTAACTCTTAACAACTTACCTGTTATCATTTATTAAATTAACCTATATTAGTGTTTTTTGCCCTATTTAGATTACGGTAAACTAACCGTTAAATCCGGCTTAAACAATACATAAAGTTTGATAGGTACTGTAACAACCGTAGAGACTTAATCCCATTGGAGGAAGAGCGATTAATGACCCACACCTTTAATACAATTGTAATCTAACTATGAATACATAAGACTCCGATGCAATTATAAAGACTACATTTATCCGTATAATATGTATAATATTGAAAAACAGTATAATAATAGAACATTACGCTAGTAGTTGTGACCTAAGAACTCACAAAAAGCACCTACGTAATAGCCCAGACTCGACTTACATCAAACTAATGCCCACTACGACGTACCCCTCACCGACAAAACCACTCAACCAGACCAAGTTTCAAAACGCACAAACACATCTCTCTATAATAAACCGTTTCGGAGATATTCACAGATATGTAAAACTTTAGACTTTTTGTCTAAATCTAAAAAAGTGTCTAAAAAAATGCACCCCTACCCGAAAAGCTTTGAATGAAATGCATTTCAATTCGCCAATCATTGATTATTTTCCTACTCAGCATAGAGCACCAAGTTTAGTGAATTGCTAGCTAACGTTAGCTAGCGATCGCCGGTACACAACACGTAGTAGGACAAAAGATAAAACTGCTTACAATCATCACAAACTACGTAGATTTGATCATCAATGAATTGATATTAATGTTATATGATAAAAAATGCACAAATAATACACAGATGGATGTAAGTAGACAAAGGATGACTCGGATTACTCACCATTAAGCCTGAGGTACCACATGTGGTCCAACGGAAAATAAGGATGTAATTTCCTGTTTCCCGATTTCACTTCCCCCAAGTTGTATGTAAACCAATCACATACATTTTAAATAAAATAATCTTGTTTGTTTCACAGCTTTGATTATTTAAACCATGTTAATATGTATTAAGTAATTACATTTAATATATTTTAGAATTGACAGAATTATACAGATTATAATTAATTTCAATACATACATTTAAAAAATTTGAGAATTTAAATAAAATCAAATAGATTTATATGCTTAAAAATAAACTCTACCATGATTCATTTTTGTGAGTGTCCTGCTATTGTTTAACCTCTAAGTAATTACATTCAATATATTTTAGAAATGACAGGAATTATACAGATTATAATTAATTTCAATACATTTAAAAAATATGAGTATTTAAATAAAATCAAATAGATTTAAATGCTTAAAAATAAAATCTACCATGATTAATTTATGTGAGTGTACGTCTGAAGGCAAAGTCTAGGGCAAATAATTGCAAGTCTCTTCAGTGCGCATGTCACAAAATGAGATGCATTGTGGGACATGTAGTTTATGGGCAACCTGGTTCTGTAAAGTGGCATGTAACCGTATAATAAACGTATTATATTCTTTGCAAGCTCTTGCGGGCCACATAAAATGAAGTCGCGGCCGGATTTGGCCCCCGGGCCTTGAGTTTGACACCCCTGATCTAGAGACACCATGAAGTTAATATTTTTTGACCTTCGGGAAATATCTTATCAATTGTGAAATGGATAGCAACAAAATTGGATACAGACCATCATGGTGCCTGGAGGATTACCCTTTTTGGGTTTGGTGANTGGCAGGCCGCAAACAACGCCGACACCTCCTCATCTCCACCGCTTCCATGTTTTATTTTGTGTTGTCATAAGTTAGTCTCTCTGCGTTTCTGCGCTAGGCTAATGCTAATGCTAATAATGCAATGCGAGGATAATAAAATGGCGGCTTCACAAAAGTTTTTGGGAGTTTGACGGGGCGTGGTTTGCATTCCGCCCAGCCAATCAGACACAGGAACCTTTTTCTCCCACGAAAGAAAAGGGGGTAAAAAAGGTTCTCTAGAACTAATTTAGTTCCTGGGACTTTTTGGTGTGAACGCAACTAAATTGTAGTTCTCAGGAACCTTTGTGGGAAAAGTAGTTGGTGTGAACGCGCCTCTTGAACTATCTAAATTCACTTTGAATTGGCCTTTTACGTTAACACATCCTGGATCCTTGATTTAAAGATGCAGACTTTACATCATGCACTTTATATATGGCGTAATAACTTTTACAGTTGTATTAAGACTCCCTAAATATGATTTAATCAGCCTAGAGTAGTATTATGATGCAGGTGGATTATGTGACAACATCATGCTCATGATTGCATCACTACTTTGCACTGAAATCCATAAGTTGCTGTGTCATTTTAGAAAGCAAATGTTTTTTGAGTAAGCTTATCAATGAATAAGGGAGAATAAACATTCATGCTACTGTAAGTCATAGTTTCTTGTTAACAAGTAACACAATGATGACAAAAAGACACAGTAAAACAATGATCAACCTCCAATTGGATTTCATTTTTCCAGTCGTCATCGTTTATGTGACTGTTGTCAAAAGACATAAAAACATCTATGCAAGATCCATTTTAGGTTTAAAAAACAAATTCTATATATACAGTAGGAGTGTCAAAATGTGGAAACTAACATTTAACACTACTAAAATGCATCAGTTCAGTCCCTAACTGGGTGGGACATGTGTTATTACCTTGCAAATACGCTGGCCTTTTATTTTAATTTTTGACAGTTTATTTACAGAGTGGCAATGCAACACTTTTCTGTTCACAATATGATTTTGTGATGCTAAAAGATACTACAAGAATAACATGGTTTAAAGGAACTTTACATACAATTAACACAAACAACTACAACACCAGTACATCAATAATGGTAAAGCTATTGTATATAGACAGAATTATAAGATATTCAGTGTATTGAAACATCTTCTTTTCATATTTTTAGGCTCTGGTTTTACATGTTACTATATATTTTTTCTATACATGTTATGGGAAATGTCATGTTTCATGTCTGTCTAATGTTACACTTTTTTGTTCTATTGGCATACCTTTTATAAAATGACATAACATACATATACTAACATAAATAATAGACACATTAGACATGTTTAAACTACGCTGATCACATCACCAGACGTTAGTATACACATACATAAGCTGAGACTCTTAAATGTGCTATAACCATGTTATTTCTGTTCATTGTCTTGTGTGTGCACATGCGCGCGTGTGTGTGTGTGTGGGCGCGTGTGTTTTGGTTCATTCTGATCGGCCTTCATTGTTACTGGCTAGACTGCTCCCACCCCCCCATCCACCCCATCGCAACTATAGCCACGGATGGGGCTGCAGGCATTAATGCCCCTGGCAGTGCCAGCCTAATTAATGGTAGGTTGACAAAACCTCTGACCTCTTTCTGTTGTGACCTTTGACCCCTCCTACCTTCTCCATTGTGAAACTGCCTCCTATCACGGGTGGTCACCTTCTTCTCTACCTTTTGTTTCAGTTGTGTTGGACCCTTTTGTATCCATGTTGTCAATGCACGTACTTTTGTAGTTGTAGAAAGTAGTTTTGTGTTTCTTTTTCTTCTCTTTATGCTATATTTTGTCTTGTAGGCCCTTTAGCGTATATTCATTAAACCTCTCTCGGAAGAATGACTTTTTTTTGTGGTCCATTTCTAATGAAAACTGGATCAAATGAAACACATAAGGTCTTTGTGATTCTAAGTAGCGAAATCTGGTTGAGCCTTTTTTCAAGATAGGGGTCTTGTTAAGTACATGTTGTTACCATCAGACAGAGCCAGGTCATCTTTGCAGTGTTTGCTGTCCACATGCTAAGCTAACAAGCTGCTGGTGGAACTGCCATATTTATTGGACATTCCAATTTTTTTAATCTAACAAAAGTTTCCCGAAATTGTTGAATGGCTCTTAAAATGTTGTTGTTGACCTTTTTTTTTTAGAAGTTTAGTTTATACATTTTCATATTAATCCAGATTTCTTACAATATACAATAGGGCCATCTTCTGTATTTGGGTGTCCTTTGGGATCACTTAGTGCAAGTCCTCTGTTCTCAGGTTAGCTTGACAAGATGCGAAAGCTTAACTATATGTATTGTTCCACTGGGTTATCTATCATCTTTGTCTCCTTGGAAAGATTCCACAAAATGTGTGTTCCCGAAGCAGGAGGGGGGTGATTTGCACTTTAATGGTGACCTCGTGCTGTCCTGGGCGGGAACGGAGCGATTTGTCATCTTAGCTATATTGTGATTCAAGGGAACTTGCTAGTGTGGAATCGCAGGTGAAACGAGCCATTTATACTTCACAAACATGCTGTGGATTCTGAAATATCTGGTGTTCAAACACTATCTAAGTCATTTTCTCTTTCACACATTTGAGCAAAAAAAAGCATTTACAGACAGATGTTGTGAAACAGTGCAAATCTCCATAATTATAGCCTGGGTGGATGATGTGATCAAAAGTGCAGCATAAAATAAAGGCTTTCTTTATTATTTTGTCTTTTATTGTAAGCACTGTGTGTTAATGTTGTTTAAGGCGTAAGACAATAGTAATTTTTCATGTTTCATTAGTTTGCAGTTTGATATATTCTGTGTGTAGTTATTGAATCTGTAATTCTACTAGCAAGTTGATTGTGCATTTTGAAACAGTAGCGTGTGCTTCAAACGCATTTAAATTAAGTATACACTAAGTTTGTTCCTTATGTAAGCAGAATCCAACAACAGCATAATAATTCAGCGTCTCTGAACTTAGATTTCGATTTTCCTCCTGTTGTTCTTATGTAACATGCCATGTGGGAGGCTTTTCCTTCTGGCTCGCTCTCTCTCTCCCTCTCTTTTCGTATTTCTCCTACCTCCTGTCTGCTTCACTCTTAAGCGTTCGATCTTGCATGAGCTCTCTGAACTTTCCTCTTATGCATGCTGTCTCTAGTGTGTGTGTGTACTGTGTGTACTGTGTGTACTGTGTGTGTGTGTGTGTACTGTGTGTGTGTGTTTTTCCTGTACACTCCCCCACTGTCAGTGTTCAGTGTAATGCTGTATCTACTGTATTTCTTGACATCTAATTTGATACCCTAGCTATTTGACTCGTATTGGTGATAAGTTGTGCTCATAGTGTGATTATGTCCTTCAGGACAATATTTTGAAATGAAGCATCCTGCAGAAAGTGTACAGTTAATGTTGTGAATGTAATTATGTCATACACAATATATTTTGATGTTAAACATGTTTTTCAGTAATGCCCATTAAGCATTTTTAGTTATATTCTTATGCAATCAAATCAAATCTTTTGAAATGTAATGTTCTCGACCCAACCCAAGAAAGAATTCTGCACAATATGGTTTTTCTCTGTGGCCCCTTTCCAAGAGATGTACTGTAGCTTCTGCTTGCATTACATCTCGTACAAATCATGTGACACAGAGACGTTTTATTAAAAGTCATTTCCCTGTCTCCTTGTTTGTGATTTTTGTTTTTTACTGTGTGTGCTGCCTGTGGTGATAATTTGTTGACATGTCTGCCTTGGTTATTTTTGTTGTTATTGTCTTGTATGTCTCCATCATAGGTAAAATGCAAGATGGCAATATGGAGAGCAACCAGATTAAAGGTAACCAGACCATATCTTTCACTCTCTCCTCCCCTGCCTTCTCTCTTCCTCTTTCACTCATCTTTTCCTTTCTATGACATGTGGTGTAAGCTCTGGGTCAAATGCAGGTGACATAATCCCACATTGCTTTGTTTATTCCCGCCTTTATTATATCCTGCACTTTTAATACTTGATGTCTCAAGTTGTTTAGTCTTTCTCAGTCAGTGCTTGACCCAGGTTTCACCTGCAGTCATGTTTGGTAAGAAAATCCCTCCCTTCACTCTGTCTGTCACCGGTGTGTTGTTTTGTTGTTGTTCTTGTTGTGTTGTTGACTTTTGTCTTGTTCTGTGCAAGAAAACAGAAAACTGTCCCTCAACTACTTCCTCGCTCAAGGTTCCTTCTTCGAACCAAACCCTCTCTAAACTTTCCTCTCGAGTATTATATCACACCCTGGTTTCCCTTTTCCAATGTTTCTTGAAATGTTCCCCACATTCTGATGTATCTGTTCTGACATTAAAGGGATCAACTATTTGTTTACGGTGTTCTCCGGGGCTTTAGCTGCAGCAATGTTTGTTTGTTTTAAATATTGTTTATCTATCAATTTAGTTTGTGAAAAATTATGCTCATCCCAATATCTTCGTGTTTCTTACAAGCTATAAAATATAGAACAAGAAGCACATTTACACATTCAAAAAATGTGTTTGATTTTTAAACAAACAAATAAACTGTCCTGCCTGAATCAACCAATTGATTAATTACATACAGTACCACAGTCAAAATATTGTTTCTGACATTTAAATATTCAAACTTGGAAACAATTGACTACCTTTCCGCTAATAATTAATCTACAAGTCTATTTACTAAGTTGAAGCATTCATTTCATGTCTAAACGTGTTTCGTCTTTCAAAACAAAAGCGCATAGAGATTTAATAAGCACAGATTGAGCAAGTCAAAGTGTCCCCAAAGGGAAGGGTAAATTATGACTTTCTACACCTTGGTATGATGTTTGAAGTGTACTTTAGGATTACAGTCGGATAAACACACTTACTGTCTTGTATCATTAGCCTGGAGAAAACTATAAGCAAAACCAGAGAATGTCTTTTGGGTGATCATCATTCCCTGCCTCACAGTGATTGAAAAACTGGGCTGATCCTTGGTAAGAGATACATAAGGAAGGACTGTATGTGTGTGAGAGGGGGAGATAGATGAAGACAACAGAAAATAGGAAACCTTGTTTCTGCCAAACAATAATTGGTTCTTTCAGTATATAGTAGGTAGAATATGATGTCATCTCAAAGTGTGAAGATGTGGACACTGGATTTGGACCTTTTGACTGGTGGAGGCAGTTTTATTGAATTGTCTTTATATTGTTTATGCTGCTGACAGTTGACATTTTATACATTTTAGCTTATTGTGATTTCTTTGTGTGTAAAATGTGCTTCAGTATTTATAAGGTTTATTTTTCCTCTCGCTTTCCACATGATAAGCAGACTTCAAGTCTTTGAACATGCCCATGGATTACAACCACTGAATTATTCATGACTTACTGTAAATATGTGTATTTGATGAAAAATAGCATGAACGCTAAGAAACGCAGTGATTCCCTTTTCTACACCAAAACAAGACCTACATTTTCATGCTTTCTAGTTGTTATTCTTTACATAGAAACACGGTTCACAACCTTTTTGATTTAACCAAGAAGACACTGCAGGGACAAACAAACAATTCTTATTATGGTATGGTAAAGCTTAATATATCCCAATTATTTCCCATTGTGTCATGGGATGTCATATTGTATCTTCCTGGTTTTATATCCAAACTGTATCTCTGCTGTATAACCTGGGTTTGAAGCCTAGCCCCCTGGTTGCCCCATTCCCTCGTTCTTATCTACATCTCTAACGCTGCTTCTGTCGGTTTCTTTGTGGTGTTTACAGTCAAGAAGCAGGATGGAGCCGCTGCCATGGAGATGCAGCCTCTAAAGAGTGCTGAAGGTGGAGAGTCCGAGGAGAAAGAGAAGAAGAAGCATACCGGTTCGAAGAAAGAGAAGTCTGTGCTCCAAGGGAAGCTGACCAAACTGGCTGTCCAGATCGGCAAAGCAGGTACAAGTCCATCGCCTTGTCAGGCCGTTAAATCAGGGACAACAAGGCGCTGAGCCGTCATCCTGTCAGTCAAACAAGGTCGTGCACTGACTTCTTGTCTACCTAAAAGCAATCAAATGAGTTGAGAAGAATGCAAAAGTGTCTGAATTTTGGAAGTGTAGAAGAGTCTGTTCCCTTTTATTTTTCTAAATGAACTTCCCTCTAGGGACATGCTGAATCATTGTTATGGAAACATCTGAGATTGCATTATACCTTTTCCCTTCTGCATTTTCTGCAATCCAGCAAGCATTTAGTAACAGATGCCCACATGCCATGTACTGTATGCCCACACTGTGGGTGTCCTCGCAGCAGCAACAAAGTAGGATTACTGTTTAACAAATAAGATCAATTAATATCACATACCTAAATTGCAACATGCAAAACATGCAGGGTTTTCTGTACCGGTCTTGAGTATTTTTCCTTAGATAAATCCGTAATAGGTGATTAGCAAGTTAAACTGCCACGGCTCTCTTTGAGAGGCTTATTTTGTTGTTGGGTTTATCATTTTCTGAGAAGCCCTTAAAGAAGTCCCTGTTATTACAGTGAGCTGTTATACAGACTGTTGGTGTAGGGGATGGATTGAGGAGGGGGTGTCAGAACAATGAACTACTGTTACTGGACTAGTACACAAGCAGCAGTTGGATCATATGGACTTCCACTCTCACTCTCAGTGTGCCTATTTTTTTAATTATATATTAATGTAGCTTCACTGCTCTCAATAGACTCCTAATAATAAACCTTACCAAGCTGGCACATTGTCATGAGGAATGATGAAGAAATGTAGATCGAGGGATAAGTGGTTATGGTAGGGGTCTCTCCAATATTGTCCCTTGTTGATTAGACCAAAAGGGAGTAATAGTACCACCTAGCTAAAATGATTAAATTGTTACACAACAGTCCTGCATTACAATTGACTTGACTCTTTACCATTTTTTTTATAAAACTTGAGCTTATTTAGTCCCTAAATGAATATAGTGTTGACTAATCTAATTGACTAATTTCTTTGTTTAATGTAGGCGTGTCAGTTAGCTATCCAAGTGTGCCAGCTAGGGCTGCTCGATTATGGCAAAAATCATAATCTCGATTATTTGGGTCAATAATTGATACCACGATTATTAAAAACGATTATCCATTTACATTGAAAACAAAAATGTATTGGAGAAAAAAAATTGGAACAGTATGTGTTTAACAGTTGATCACCCTGAACTTTAATAATTCAACTGAAAACCCCCCAAAAAAAGAGTAATTAAAAAAAATAATAATAAAAAAATAATCGTTTTATTTAGATTACGTTGTTTTCGCAATCGTTGCAAGCCATAATCGTAATTGCGATTAAAATACGATTAATTGAGCAGCCCTAGTGCCAGCATGCACAAAACCGTGATTTTGTCGCTCATGGCATTATGGTGTGTCAGTAGTACCCTCTAAGTTTTAAACCCTCTTGGCCCGACTGGAACCTTTTAAGGGTTTTTCCCATGTTTCGTATAGGTGATCTGTTTTTCCTCCTTATACCAAAACATGTGCGTTTCAGGAGGATTTAAGAATCTCCTCACTAATAAATTTCTACACATGAATCACATAAAGTGACTTCACTCAGATTCTGTCCTTATCTCATAACCTTTTGTATCCTTTCTTTCAGGTTTGCTCATGTCAGCCGTCACAGTCATCATCCTGGTCCTGTACTTTGCCATTGACAACTTTGTGCTGCAGAAGCTGCCTTGGTTGCCAGAGTGCACTCCCATTTATGTCCAGTTCTTTGTCAAGTTCTTCATCATCGGTGTGACTGTGTTGGTGGTGGCCGTGCCGGAGGGGCTGCCGCTGGCTGTCACCATCTCCCTGGCCTACTCCGTTAAGGTGGGCAAGAATTACACTTAGAGAGTAAGAGAAAAGACAAACAGTGCAAATGGTACTGCCTTAATATTTGAAAGCTGTTCAAATGCACACATTATGATCATCATGTTGTTAACTCCTGCAGAAAATGATGAAAGACAACAATCTGGTGCGTCACCTGGATGCATGTGAAACGATGGGCAATGCGACGACCATTTGCTCCGACAAAACGGGCACGCTGACCACCAACCGCATGACGGTGGTGCAGTGTTACATCGGGGATGTGCACTACAAAGAAGTGCCAGATCCCTCAGCTCTGCCAACCAAATCAATGGACATACTGATCAACTCCATCTCCCTCAACAGCGCCTACACCACCAAGATACTGGTAAGCAACATGTAACGTAAGCCTTTGTAAAAGATACTTCCGAGTATTTTGCTCTCTAGGTTGAGCGTGGATGGCAACTTAGGACATAATATGACTGCGTCTGTACCTTATATATACAGTCTATGGTCTGCACTACACACAAAATGGGAACACAGTATTCCATATGGAATTTGAAACTCCACTTTTATGGTGCATCCTTGTAGCACTTTTCTCTAACTTAATAGTCAGGCAGCTGCATGATGTCAGCGCCCTCTCTGTGAGTGGTGAAACCATATGATAAGAGAAGCCCGGAAACAGAGAGACAGTTCTGCAGTGCGTTCTGCGTGGGAGCAGGCAGACTGTGTCCTTGGCTGCTGCTTTACCTTCATCAGGAATTCACTCGACTTGCCACCTTGAGAACATTTGTGTATTTTTGTCTCATCTGATATTCTGAGCATAGCAGACTGTAATTGAATCAGATGCGCCTGCCTAAGATTGTTTTCTTAAATGCAATAAGAGATGGATGTATAGATGGACGGATAGATACAGTATGTTTCTAAACTCACCTGAACGCATTCACACGAACACACACATTTCTGCCTGTCTGTGTGTCACTATCCTTGTGAACCCCTTTAGAGTCGATTCAATGATAGCCGACCAACTTACAAATGCCCTAATTTAACTTGCATAGGGAATGAGCTGAGCATGCGGGACATCTGCGATAGAAGGATCACACAGATTTCACTTCATACCCCTCAAGGCACGATCACAGCCTCGGTGTAAACAGAGTGCTGATCATCCTTTTTTAAGATGGAGAGCTACACATTTCTGTCTACTCTAGCTTTAACACTGGTAGCTATGAAGCACAGTGTATACCTTAAACTCTGTTGTAGGCGAACAAGTTGCATCAATTTGTGTCGTTCAGGATTGAAAACTAAAATGTTTGTCTACTGGCAGAGCCCCTATTTAAATATATAAATAATTGACACATTGCTAATTTTTTTTCAACACAACATGGATGCAGCTCAAATGCATTATCTGCCAGTGTCCGCCCTCTGCATTGGATCTTCTCCAAAATGTAATGGGTTCTTGCTCGGCCGATGATACAGTACTCCCTTCCGGACAGTTTTATTTTTGTAGTCAAACTGAGCCAAAAACATAACCTCTGTAGTAAGGCACATGATATTTACTGACAGTATTTTGCATCTATTTGAAAGTGACGATAAAAGATGAAAATGGTAGCCAAGAGAAACGATCCGGCAACACAATACTGACAGGGGTGTCAAACTCAAATCCGGCCGCGACTTCATTTTATGTGGCCCGCAAGAGCTTGCAAAGAATATAATACGTTTATTATACGGTTACNGAAGAGACATGGAGAAGAGGGGACACATGTTGATGTAGAAGACACATGAAGTGTCCCCTCTTCTTCATGTCTCTTCTACATCAACATGTGTCCCCTCTTCTTCATGTGTCTTCTACATCAACATGTGTCCCCTCTTCTCCATGTCTCTTCTACATCAGCATGTGTCCCCTCTTCTTCATGTCTCTTCTACATCAACATGTGTCCCCTCTTCTTCATGTCTCTTCTACATCAACATGTGTCCCCTCTTCTTCATGTCTCTTCTACATCAACATGTGTCATTCTCTCTTTTTGTCCTGATCCATTTCTATAAAAACCTGTCTGAAAATGAGCTGATCAAATTTTGGCCACTTTATGATGTCATAACGATGTTTTGTCTTCTGTAACCATTAGCCAATCAGCAACCAAGGTAACCCCCCCCCCACCTTATCACCTGAATCTCCTCCTAGAGCACAAATAGGCACGTTCACACCGCAGTACTTTTCCCACTTTAGTTCCGATATAGTTCCGTAATGTCGCGTTCACACCAAAAAGTCCCAGGAACTAAATGAGTTCCTGAGAACCTTTCCACCCCCTTTCCGTCCCTGCTAGAGAGCAGGGACTTTCGTGGGAGAAAAAGGTTCCTATGTCTGATTGGCTG